GGGGGGGGGGGGGGGGGGGGGGGGGGGGGGGGGGGGGGGGGGGGGGGGGGGGGGGGGGGGGGGAGGAGGGCAGAAGTCGACGCCTCGAATCGAAATCGCGGCAAAGTGTGTTAGCGAGCGCTTGCGCTACACGACGGCGTAGGCGTGTTAGCAGTGACGAAAATCAAAAGGAACACGGTGAGGGTTTCACGGAGGCTTTGTTAACGGCTGTTGTGGGATTATAATTGTGGCACCTCATTGTCGAGAAGAGGCAGGCCACCCACCGGATGCAGCTTGAATAGTCGCCAACACTCGAAAATGAAGCTTTGACCGACATCACATCATACATGCGTTGCTGCAAGAAACCAACCGCGTACGACGGCACTCGTCACCTGCCAGCAAGAGAAAGCGGCCGTGCGGGCTCCAGCTGATAGTGTTGCGGTGTGCACTACCGAACTCGAACGTTGGCTCCCCCTGATGACAAAGGTAGCAACAGAAAGGGTAAGAGACGGAAGAGCGGCGAGGGAGGGGTGTACTCCTGCACACGCATGCGGTAGTCGCTAGACCATTGGTCTCGCATCCCTACAATGCCGGGACCCGGAGCGACGAGAGCGGGGGGGTTAGGGCAAAGAGAGACGCAAAGACACGCAGACGGATGACAAGAAGGTACTCATTTCAAGGGCTAGCTCTTCTCCCAATGCCTGGATGCGAGGGTGCCAGGGCTAAACATCTCCAATCCACACAACGCACCACAACACAAACTCGAAACAAGAAAAAAGCGCCATTTCTAGCACGAGGCACGAGACACAAAAGGCAAGCAGCACGACAACATGAACCAAGACATAAAAGTACACCTATTTTATCCCGCTACAAGACTGACGTCCCTTTTATTCCGCTAAATGACTAACTTCTCTTTATCCCGCTACTGTTAAGACTGGCGACGTCTTTTCATCGGCCGGCCGGCTAGCGCGGTCAATGCTAATAAACACGCGCGTCGTTCCAGAACACCACAACCGCCATCACCGCGCACCTTGATGTTGTAGAGCGTGGACGTGGAGGGCATGCTCCCCGCGATGACCACGAACTTGTTGCCCTTGTTCGATCCGCCGGGCCCCCATTGAACGTCCTGCACAGTCCCCTCCTTCGCGGGGGCGATCGCGCAGTCGAACTGCCCGTCGGCGTGCATGAGAAACAGGCCCGTGGACCCGTAGTATGACTGGCGAGTTGGCGAGTTGGAGAGAGAAGGGGGGGGGCATGAGTGGAGCAGTTTCAAGAGTACGGGCATTGAAGAATAGTCAACCAGAAGAATTAGCGGGCCAGCTGTTTGCGCCAACGTGTATTGCGCGGAAAAGTCAACCATAACTAGCAGATCAGTTGTTTGCACCAACGTGCATTGCGCGGAGTACTCAACCAGAACTAGCAGTCTAGATGTTTGCGCCAACGTGCATGGCGCGGAAAGTTCAACCATAACCAGCATGGCGCCATGGTTCCACGTCGTAGTTCACACACGGAAATTGACCACATCGTATGTTCACAATGAAGAAAGTCGTATGTAGGCGTGATTACTGTTTGAAGCGCACCTTGCCCGTCGCGTCTACGTCGGTGCTCGTGAGGCACAGCACCGCTCGACCGTCGGGACTCCACTTGAAGGACGCCTCCTGCTCGAGTGAGCGCACGTTTGTGTCATCGGGAGATTGGGGTATGTACAATGCGGTGAGGGTACTCAGGGCCAAGCACGCAAACACCAAGCTCAGTTCACGAGCCCAAAAGGTCCCAGCAGGGGAACTCACCTGGCCAAAACGGAAAAGGGAGCGAAAACAACCATCTACAGCTGTGTGCACCAACACATGCCAGCTTGTAAGACGTTCCTGCTTCAAACAGATTGCCTGAGGGCCCCATCAACTCGTCTCTCCGACGTCATCACCTGCGCGCGGAAGGAACTCCTAGAGGCGATAGGCGTGTCCGACACCGGGTAAGACCATAGCGAGATCTTGCCCGGCTTGCCCTTCAGCTCGGGCACGAACGTCGCTAGCCTGCCATGGGAAACGGACCGATGGAGCAGAGTTTTGCAAGAATCAAGTTCGTCAGCTCGTGAGTAGTCGCGGACGAACGCCGATGCAATTGCTGCTCAGATCACACCCGTGAACTGAAATCCGTGAGAGCCTCCTTTGCGCACGCCAACAGCATCACGCAGAAGCACGTCAACTTGTTTGCGACAGGATAAAACAGGCTTGCCCTGGAGTTTTTCGTTTTAACCAGTTTTTTTTTGGACGATTTTTCTCCCCAAATGTCGACACTCGCAAGCATCGCAAACGAGCTGAGCCAAGGGCGGTGAGCAGCTACGACGTGCCACCAGCGGCCCTATGTACAAAATGTCTGACCTGTACGGAGCCGTCCCAGGTGCGAGGCTGAAGCTAGCGAGCTTGGGACAGGGGACTCGGGCCACGACGCCCTGGTCGAAGTGCTGTCCGTCGTAGATCTGTTAAAAACACGGCGCCAAAAACATCAACGCGAGGATGGCTATTGGGACATGGTAGCGGCGAGCTGCTTCACACACTTTCGAAAGCGGCGCATTCAGTCAGCCATTGCTGGCAGGGATAGCTCGCATCAAAAACATCTAAACACGAGGTTGGCTGTTTGGGCAAGGTAGAGGAGAGCTTCACGCACAGCGGCACATTCAGTCAGGGATTATCGACAGCGAGCCTCTCGCCTGGATGTCGTTGTCCAGCCCTCTTGCGGCGATGACCTCGTCGCTGCTCCATTGGAGGCTGGGCCACGCCGACCTCCGCAGCTGTTTCTGGGAAACCCTACGCATACACGCAGCCAACAACGGCACAGGCGGCACTAAGAGATGACCCAGCGGGATAGATACATACGGCGGCGACATTCGGAGGCTGGGCTTGAGGCCGCAACAAGAATGCAGGATAAAAAGGGGCGGCAGGAGCAATCGACAGGGGAGCCTTACTTCATGTGTTTTGGAACGAAAAGCCATGCAAACATATGCCGGCCTAGGGTTGAGTCAAGGTGCTTGGGAGCCGTGTTTGACCCAGTAGCATACTACTCCACCAAGCGCTCCTATCGTACATGTAGCACCAACAGCATTGCCACGCAAGCAAGCACAAAAAATGTACAACTATCTGACAGGGCGGTGCGTGCGCACGAGGTTCAGTGGGGGGTGGAGGGGGGGGGGGGGGGGGGGGCACACACACGCCCTAAAGGCAACACACCGGAATCAATCAATACACTGACGCCAACCCAAGATACACCCCCCCAGAAGGTTAAGACATGGGCAACCAAGACACTGACGCCAACTCACGACGAATACGCAATACGCAGGACGGGGAAAATTCACCAAAAAAAAAGAAATGGTAAAACGCACACGCACGAAACACGGGCGGACAATCCACACAAGAAAAAAAAAACAGTACCAAAAAAAAAACTGCACATACCTGAGTTCCTCCGACCACGACGCCGTGCTCCACACTACCAGGTTTCCCGGCGGCCGTTCCCCGTCCACCGATTTGCTCGGCGGCTGCCATGTCAGCAGGTAAGTCCCCAGGGGAGAGAAGTGGACGGCTCGCGCGCCGGGAGCGTCAACGCTTGCCACCTGCATGCGTTCGCGGTGCGTTCGGAGTTGGTTGCCGTCATATAGGCGAATCACTTTCGTTCGACTTGAGCAGAAGTCCTCAGTGTCCGTCACATGAACCGCGTACCACTTTAATTACGTACACCAGCTTCTT